ACGGAGAGAGAGAGAGAGCGAGAGTTGGCGCGCGCGGTCGGCCGACAGCAGCACGCTCCGGTGATGTGCCGAGCTCGCGCGGGGAAGTACGCATTAGCGCGCTGTTCTGCGTTTTAGTTGGACAATAAAGGACAGCCAATCAGAGGATAGATAGATAGATAGATGAACTCAGTGTCCTCACCCCAGGGGCCCCAAAAGTCCTACATTTCCCACATGTCAGTTGGTTTTGGTAGATTAATGTAAAATTTAAGGCGGGTGCTGCATTATTAAACCCTGTAACCCCATTAGCCTTAGAGGGAGCCTGTGTCAAAACCTCGCTTTAAGCCTTTTATATTTTAGTTTGTGTTGCGCACACATGGTGGTGCATATTCTCAAATGAAGTAAATAAGATTTGCACAAACTAATTTGACAAAAAAAAACATGTACATGGTTGAAAGCTCAAAGCAAATAAGGGATCCTTGAGTCAGGAGTGTTCAGATACATTTCCAAGGTGAAGAATACACTTTAATGGAGGAATACTGGTTGGTCTCTCAACACATAATGCAGCAGTATGGGTAGTCTGCTGTACTTAATGGGAACTTAACATGCAGAAAGGGTAGTAGGTGAGGGTGTGGAGGGTCAGAAGGTGAAATAAGTTAATCTGGCCATGTCTAAAATAAAATATTGGGTCAATATGCCTCTTTATATCCAGTGTCATTTAAAGTTTCCTACAATAGCGGCATCTTGGCAGGCAACAAACAGGTGATTGTTCCTCGATTAACTAAGGGGAAATGGTAATCAAGCGACATCTGATAGTAATCAAACAACAGTCATGGCCAATAAGTCAAATTCGTGGCGGCGTGCCAAATGTGTTCAACATGGGTATGCAAGGACAAACATGGCTCCACGGGCAGATAATGGAGCTGGCAGCGGTGGTACACGCTTGTTGCCTCCCATCAGAGCACAGAATGATGCTCGTGTCTGGCACTAATCACAGCCATGACCTTGACCTCGATTGGCAGAGCATGTCTGTTCATTAAGGGCCCCAAAGGGACAAGCAAAAGGGACACTGAGACAGACATGATGCATCATGCAAGTGCATGCATGTGCGCACAGAAACCCACATTACAGTGTAATTTCCTGGAGGTGCCTACTAACTCATTTGACTTTCTGGAGCAGCATGACCCCGATACATTGCATAGATTTTTGCTCCTTCTCTGTCTCTAACACACACACACACACAGACGCTTTCTCTCAAACATAGCCTGCACTATCACACACTGCACACACTCTAACACACACTCACACAGTCTCCGTCTGGCTTTCTCTTTCCTTATCTGGTCGTTTGCTCTTAGCAATCAGTCTGCCATCCATCAGTAATAATGTAGGCATTTAATAAAGCCAACACCACAATGAAATAAATAATGTTCCAGAGGAGATAAGCCCACTAGCAGCCAGCCATCTTTAGCTGAGTGCAGACAGGGCAATGGCTCAGTAACTGGGCTGCAGTGAGCTCCGATGCAATTAGAATAAATAGAAAGGCCCCCTCTTGGGGTATCATGGTAATCGCGTCCAATGGGTTCATCTAACATGGTTGACATCAAATTTTAATTACATTGCCATGGAAATAAAGTGTGGAGCAGGCCAACCCCGAGTCTTAGTGTGTAATATGTGTAATGTTTGCTAATGATGAGCGTCAGTAATTTGGACTTGTCAGTATACAGTTTATAATATAAACTTTGAAACACTGCTAACCTGTATTTTATGGCATTAGACGGTAGGTGTTTTGTGATGGTCACTCATAGCTATAACTGATCAAAAACAATCATCTGAATGCAAATAAGCAATGTAAAAGTTCAGGAATTTTCCATTGCCCTGGAAGGTTGAATCATCCAATGATCTACAATCAAAATAAATCATGCCCATTCCAATCCAAAGTAACACTAATGGCCTTTAAGCAAGATAAATTCATAATTTAAAGCACGTTTTAAAATATTAAGCAATAAATTTCACAGTATTGGAGGAAATAGGTCCATAAAGACGAAGTGTATGAGAAGGAGGAAATAACTTGCGTGTTTTGCAGACAGATTTACGGTGTCATCTCAGGTACAACCCTGCGTATCTAGAGTCTTTAAGTATGGATTCTCCTTGAGAAACATACTGTATATACACATATATACAAAAAACATACACTCACACATACACAGATATTCCAAATAAATGCACGCAAAAAGGGGAAGAAAAACCATATATAGACAAAATCATCCAGGAACAGACGCGCACACACCGAGCAGAGTTTAAATCTGAAATATGTGTAGTTGTGGAATGCAGGAAGATAAGAAAAGGTTCAGCCCCACGACACACACCAGTGAGTCAAAACCAGGTGCTTTTCCGCCAGAGATAAGCAGACAGTCACCCAAACATAAAACACAATCGTACAAGACACACACAACTTGAGGATTTCATTGCTGTGTACCCCTCTCTGGAGCTATTAGATATTTTAGTTCTCCTGTGTGTGTGTGTGTGTTGTGTGTGTGTGTGTGTGTGTGTGGGAAGTACTGTGGTAGCAGGCATGTCGGTTTTCGATTTTGTGACACAGAAGATTTATTATTGCCACATTCTCTCTGTCAAATACGTGTCTCTGGCCTGCTAATGGCACAGAATGACTGTGTGGAGTATTTAAAAAAAAAAAAAAAGAGAGAATGTGAAAAAGAAAAAGAAGAAATTAGAGAACATGAGGCAGAGCGAGCGAATAAGTGAATGAAACAGAGGAGAGGAGGATGAAACAGCATGGTGTGGGGGTTTGCAGAAGAACTCTGGAAGGGATGTGTGTGTGAGGCAGAGACAGGGGAAGAGAAATGACTGTCTTGGTCATAAATCTGCCCCCAGCCAATCTAATTGGCCATAACCATACATCACTCCACGCCACTCTGCTGCTATTAACCATGAACCTGGGCCTCTCTGTCACTTGTGCAATATAAATAACCTGCTGTACTGTCCCAAGGGATGGTTTCAAACATACAAATTGGGTTAAAGAGTAGCAAATGTGCATGTTGTGGTGTAACACTAAAAAAAGCTTTACAGATTCAGGTGAATGTCCTGAAAATGATCACATTATGATGCAACCTTTGGGTACGCACTTTAATTGCGGGATTTGTTTTTTTGGCAGTTACATCGTACTCAAGTGGTGGTTGACAAATTGAATTACTGCTGATTTATAGTAGACCTGGTCCTCTGATGCACATTCAAACTATAAATAATCCACAGTCCATTGATTGAGCTGCAGAGACACTACGGTCGCCATGGCTTCCAATCTTTACAATGAAAAATGAAAGACTCACCAAGGTGATGTTGAAATAATGATAAATAATAACAAAACACAATGCTTCCTCCTCAGGGAAATTAATTTTATCCGTGCCCGTGTGTCCTTGCTGACGAGGACTGGAGCCTGGATCCCGACTATGAAAGTAAGAAATACTATCCCATATATATTCTAATCACGAGGGACAGAAAGTAATGAAAGTACACCAGGGGAGAGATGCTCAAAGGGGGTTTAGAATGTAGCACAAATGACGATTATAGATGGAGATTATCCTACATATATTAACAACTTACTGACTACAGTGTACCTGTGGGATCTAGTCCTATCACTCTTCCAGATAGGGTCTCCCTTAGGTTTCTGACAAGAAGGACTGATTCATTAAGAGCACTCTCTCTGTTTACTGCCAGACTAGAGAGAGGAAGAAAATCCTGATTCTGAAGCTTTTCCCCATGTGAGCACATGTACAAACAAAAGGTGAATCATCATTAGTGATTCACACAGATTCGGCACTAACCAGCTTTACCTATCACCACATGGTGTCTGAGATGACACCTGGAAATAGGGTGAGACTCTGAAAAGATGAGGTTGCGTGCCGGGGCAAGGCAGCCCGATCGCTCTTGTATACACTCACATGTGGCTGTGCTGACACTGAAACCTCTTAGAATTAAGTGACAGCTGCATGAGGCCGGAGTAAGAAATGAAATCCCAGGGGTATGACACACAGAAACAGCTCCCATTCAATTCTCGAACGCAAGAAAAACGGTTCATAGATGTTCCACTATCCATCAACCTAGCTGCATTTGTGTTATATTATTGTAAGTGTATTGTATTACACCAAACAAATAAAAAATCTTTTGCATCCATCTATAAAAACATCTCTTAAAGAAGCATTTCACCCGTGGAAACATTAATCTTTATTGAAAGTGGGTTATATATGTAGTCGAAATGTAACATAAATTTTGAATTTGGTGCCTATTTGACCGAGAAAAGAGTGTTTGTAGTCTCACCCCTCTACAAAGATATGAGACTCCTGCTTCCAGTGATGAAAAATGACGATTTTTACATCATTGGAAGCAGGGAAGTGCAACACTGAAATCCGTATTTCTCCCGTCTCAGGGAAAAATGAGGGAATGGTGCACGACCATTCAAAAATATGACTGGGTTTCTAACGAACAAAGCTTAATGCAATATTGGGTGAAGTGTCCCTTTAAGAGAAGTGAATATTTCTATAAGGATGGCAGCCTTCTTATATAGTGCTCTAGTATTCAGTATGTCCTGATTATGGTAGAAAGATTGGTTTAAATTTAGAAATTGCTCTTTATATAAAGGTTGCTGACCCCTGCCTGAGAGTCTTATTTGATTACCTTCAAAAACTATACACACAAATCACAGTTTTTATTTTAATATTTAGTATTGATGCATGATGGGGAAATAAGACTTAGGTCTTCTTGAAGTAAGGAAATGGTGATATGAAACAATTTCCAGCACGTAACATTAAAAATAAATAAAAGCAAATCCATTTTTTTTATTTTTTTTATTTTTTGTTTTATAGTAAAAATGTTTCACATAACAACTTTAGCAAATTGTACAACAAATTCTGAGCTGGTAGGTGCAACAGTGTCTGCACCACATTCACCAAATTTCACGCACTATATGAACCACAGTGCGTGTGTGTGTGTGTGTGTGTGTGGTCTCCAGTTAGCCCTCAGTCTTGGTACAGTCGTACGGTTTCCACCACTGTGCAAACTGCAGGACTTTTTTCCTCTGATCGTCAAAGTTCTCTCTAATCAACTTCCTCCAACGTCGCGGCTCCAAGTCCATCATGCCTCCAACCACTTCCTGTGAGGGAAAGAGGGATTGATCATATGGGAATATTGCTGTGAAATTAACTGGAAATAATGTCCCACATGCACAGTACAGTTTTATGAAATTCCTGGAACCAAAGGACGGTGATGATTTCTAGTAGCTAAAAATAAGAAGAACACATAATGATGTACTGAGTGTAACAGCCTTAATGCACACACTGACCTTGCCGAAGTAATGGGGGAACTTCTGTTCATTTTCAATGACATGAGCAAACCCTCCCTGGAGACCAAAGTCTACAGCAAAGTAGGGCAGAGCTCGAGGAACCTAAGAGGCATTAAACAAACAATAACAATTAACAAGGATGAAAGGAAGGAGGTTATGGAGAAAAGAAGTAAGACAGGACAGGTGGTAAAAAATACGAGAGAAAGTAAGGAAAACCAAACAAGTTTAGAAAATGACAAAAAACGTACAGCTTGGCGGATGTCTTTGGAAGAGAGGTCGACAATCTTCTTGTTCATGGCCCATTCCTCGTCACACTCCATGATAGCTTTCTGAAGGCACGCAGAAACTGTTGTATTACCACCCTTGTGAGGACATTCACACATTTTCTTATGCATTAAACTCCAACATATGCCGACGATACTCCTTTCCAGTGTAAAACTTGGAAAAATTAACTAAATCAGAATGATGAGTCAATACACACACCGACCTTAAAGTATATAGGTGCCATATCGCCCAGTTCTCGGGGTAGCGGGATACACTCTAGGACCATGTGTTGTCTTTTGCGTGGGTTCATGTGTGTTTCCATGAACACACAGTCCAGCTCCTGGGACTCAAACATACGCACCAAAGTGCGCCGGAACAGCTGAGGAAAGCAAGGCAGCACAAAAGTGAACTCAATTAAATTTTAATTATTATTATTATTTGAATTAAACGGGTCAGATTATATCTACCACTGCTGTACAACGAGAGTCACTGAAGTTGTCACTTTAGTTTGGATTGACAAAATCTGGAGCACTGATTGGCTAACCTGCATTTCTGACCAGACATCCTCATCCAATCCGGTGGCAGAGCAGTGATGTTGGAGAGGACAGATGTGACAGTGGCCCTCCGTCATCGACACTCCTGCAGGCAGGCTCAGGTACACCTGAGATTGCAAACACATACACACAAAAAATTTGAAATGCATCAATGACTCTATACATTTGTATATCTATAGATTAGATGTGTTCAAAAGCTTTAGTTTTTCAATCAGTTGATAATGTGTCGACTGACTGAAATGTTAATATTTTCTGGTTTTCTAATTCTTCTATGATTGTAAACTGGATACACTTGTGGGAAATTATGAAAGAATGAGTCTTATAATCAAGAGAAAATCTCCTTAAAAACATCATATTCGAGAGCTCGTGCCTCTCAAAAATGAGTCAGTGATGATATCAGTGAATGATGATGAACATTTCTACTTGATAAATGACTTAAACAATGAATTGATTATCAAACCTGTTGCCTGATAAATCAATTAAGCGACTAATGAGTCCCATGCCCCCATCTCAAAGCCTACTACATCCACGGACCCTTACCTTGCTCCCTATTGCTACAATGAGGTGCTTCTTGAGCTCTTGGCTGCTGAAGCAGTGCTGGCATTTATCCATAGAGGCAGCCAGCCTCCTACTCTCCCCGATGGCTTTGCTCCTCATCCTCTCCTCCTCCCTCCCCTCGCCCTCCCGCTGGGCTGCACCTGACACAAACATGTCATCCAGCGTGTAGTTTTCGCCGTCCGTCTTCCCCATCATCTGGGGAGTCGAGTGGAGTAGAAGTGGTGGTGATGGAGACAGCAGAGGAGCCGGAGAGGAGAAGA